CGGATATCAAACCGTGGCGTAGCATTATCGCTCACTTTTTCGGCCCACTTGACCTGTTACAGCTTGCAATCCGACCATTGCGTACTGCACTGGGTTTTTAATGGTGTGTGCTATTTACTTCTATTGCCTGCCCGGAAATAATTATCTTTTAATCGTTTAGTTTCTCTTTATGCTTAGTTGCTTCAAGATCACTGCGGATTGGCATCTGATGAAATATTCTAACTGATCCCTTTTGTTAGCGTCTACCACAATGGGTGATTCCGTCATTAACCGGTCTACGGATAAGCCACTTCTATGTGAGTATTTGTTGTCTATGTTCTCAGTCCCGCTATTACGCTAGTGGTTATCAGGCACGATACCAAACGAACTAAATTCCCACACCGTGATTGGTATAAGCTACAGTCGCGCTCTCCAGGATTCACCACTATGCTGTGGCATGTGCACGTGAGTTCCCCGACCTGCTGGTGAGATTTTTGCTGTGGGTTGAACCCTCAACGTTCGTAAATAAAACCCAAATGCACCTTGGACTTATTTCTGCTACTTCGCCTCGTAATGTGAGATGTCCTACAAAGCAATTCCTCACAACTAGACTCAGCCAGATAGTCATCATAAGCCCGGAATACACTGTACGGGGGCTGCCTTGTCCTCTGCACGGTAGTAGGGTTCACCTCAGTAGATAGCAAAAGGCGCTACATCACATACAGTAACCTATCCAAGATGGACGTTGTCGCCCCCCGTAGGTCAGTGGTCTCGACCGCTGACATTTGTTAAAAGTCCAACCGTTAAGCTTTCGAAGATTAAGGCTGAATAGATGTGTATTATTCAAAAATGTCCATCGACTGACACACACTAGTTACTAGCAGCTGATGTTCTTAGAATCTTTATCGTATGACCTAAGAAACAAAGACTGTGTGATAAAACTACCGCATTGTCGCACACATCTGCGCTACGACAGCTTTACACACAAATATCTCACGCTATGGAATAGATTGCCTCAGGCCATCAGAAGTTCATCTTCGCTTCGAACATTTAAGATGTAACTACTTGACTGTTAATAAACGTAAAGAACTGTTTCGTGTCAGTTGCAGGGGCTGGGATCCACGGGACTCGCCTTGTGCCAGGTTTGAGATTTTACTGGACATGGCTCGCGTCTGCTGCCGTCTCCTAGTAGGACTGCCTGTTTAACGATTGTCCGGTGCTGATTACTCTGCGGGTTAACGACTGATTATGACGCAGCGGTGCCTACCTGTCTATCGCCCACTACTTCGTCCATACTGGCTCCAGGTGACAGTTGGTCATTGCTGGACGGAAGGGGGTGTACGGTCCTTGGGCCGTGTTAGGATCAAAGAGTGGTTCCATGCACAGTGTGGAGCTGACTACGGTCCAGCCACGGCTTTGTGTGCGCTTGATTCCCAACTACAGCGTGCTTGTGTTTGGTTGTGAATGAGTGTGGGCCGGCTCCGTTGATGAAACGTCGCTCCCATCCACATGCCTCCCGATCTTATTCCTTCGGGTTTACACTGGATATAGGGTGTTTGGATGGAGCTGTGGGCGGTGCAGCGCAATCCATCCATGATCCCTCCGTAGGCGCAAGCGTGCTGTGGCTGGCCCCAGTGACAGGCAAATCCGAAACCGGATGCCGCCAACCACCACACGGGGTAGTGAATGCCGCAAGGAAGCTGTCTCGCCGATGCCGCCTTATCTTTGCACGACAGCCAGCTGTTTGTGACGGTATGTTGTCTGCACAGAGTGTAGGCGCCTTGACCCTGAATGTCTGCTTAGGGCATTAAGGTTTTTCTTTCCTTTCCTGATGATGATGACACAGAAACGAATGGGTATACGAGAACGGGCCTGACAATATCTAACTAGTTGCGGAATTCACAATATAAAAGTACCGATACACATGGGCAGAAGACCTTGTCGACACAACGTGAAATACAATGTTCTCTTATCCTTTTTCTGGCTTGATAACTTAGTTTCCCCTCATTCCTTTCTCCTACTTTGTCACATCCTTTGGTATTACCCAAACTTACGACCCATTAATAGCCAAGGAAAATGGATAAGTGAAAGCTATCACTAATTTTCTCTTAGTCTCTACCGTTATATCATTATTGTTACTCAGCTTGATGGCCCGTTGGTGACCTATGAAAACATGGGCACCGATGAGTTGGACATATCGGATTTATCAGCGGGTTTTTCTTCATCTACCTTGCTTCTTACTGTGCTCTTACTTAGCTTGAAGACTCACTGATGACATTTGAAACTATGCGCACATTGGTGGGTTGAATAAACAAGCCTTTTCCCCAGCCTTCATATTGGGCTTCCTTTCTATTACACCGCTATGTGAAAGGCTTGAGTGCTTGCAAGACATGGACTTACCGAAAGGGTGAATTGTTGATGGCTGCAACCAACCCACCAAATTTATGAACACAATTCCATTTCTTCTGTGTAATCACATTTTGCCACTTTTGTGAGCTGGGTCTTTAATCCTAATTGATTTATGTTTCATGCTGGATGCAGTTCTCAGTTGTACCGTCTATCGTGTTATCAGGTCTGCTCACACACTTTCACTAATTAGAAATTATTGTTATATACCAATGTTATAAATTTTTAAAGTACATTTTCCATGCACATATTTTCACCCCTCCCAAAACCTTGTTATTTAGCTTGTTTTTCCCAACTATCCGCCTTAACGTATCTGAACGTCTTGCAATTATCGTGGATTCCGACGAATTTTGAAAAGAAATCAATGGCGCAAGTATCAGTGGAATTGGAAGCACAAGTGTATTTATACGGCAAATTTTTAAAAGCCATTCTGCATTTCTTTTGTACCTATGATCGGATCAGCTTAGCTGGGCCATACGTCACCTAGTTGAGAATATACCAGTTAAATTATAACAGCCGTTACGGGTTCTAGTTCCACGAGGGTCAGATGGAATGCGCACCGCTAAAGGTTCCCGAAAGGATGAAACGGATGTGCAGTGCTTTCCTGGCGTGTGGTTGCCGTCTGACTGGGTCTAGATGTGATGAATTTCAACTTACCTCATTCAAGTCCCCACGCTACTCCTTTGTGATGTCGGATGTGTGTGGTGCGGCTCGAGTCACTTGGGGCTAGTCTATACGTATGTGCGTACCGCAGCCGTTAAGGTAAAACACGAACATGAGATTCGGTAATGGGATGCCAACGTGAACCCATGAGGAAATTGCTGTCGTTTAAATCGTCCTCCATCTAATTCAGATGACTCAGTTGCCAGAGATAAGTTAACGCTAGCTTCATCTCAGCTTGTTTACGCGTTGGTTGTTTGAATGGATCAAAAGAAAGACCTCGTTGACCCAAAAAGTTGCTATTAATGAAATCTGTCGAATAATATATATTGTTACTTTTGTAGGCCAGAATGCTGTCTTATTTGCTGACTAGTGTTTGCTGAATCGAGCGCTTGTCCATGGAGGACAAAACGTTGCAGCACATTAAGGGCACACCAACAGTATCATTTTGAGTTTTATTTGTCGCATAGATTGTTTGACTTCGTCTGTTTTCTATAAGTAGGACAATGCGATATAATGCACCGTGCGCCTGTCAGTGTTGCTTTGCAGGCATTTGCTTCCTATAATATATATATCATCTGCAGTTGCTGCTTGTTGCGTGGATTGATCTGCGAACCAACTTGTTGGACTCAACCAGTGGAGCAAAAGTCACCCTAGCAAAACATAGTCAGAAGAGTGGTCCGTTCTCGCGAAGGATGCACCGTGTTCGTGCTGTGACATTGAAGAGCACATCACAGCAATACGAGTTATCAGCCACTGTTGCGGAGTTTGAATAGTTTCGTCAAAGCTCGCACAGAGCTTGCATGAGCTTACCTGTTGCTATGCTGCGACTGAAACTGCGTAAGCTAAAGCTGAGTTCTCTTCATTCGCACCCCTATTATGCGTCCATTTAATCTGATGTTTTGTGACTTTGCCTCACTCACCCCTATTCATTCAGCCCTCATTTACGGTTCCCCGCATACGTGTTTCTGTTGCCTCACATTTGTGCTTAAGTTGTGTTGCCACCGAATCTTATGCTTATTAGTTTTTTCTCTTACTCTGTTGATTTCACTCGTCCGTCAGGCAACTTATCGATCCTTCGCCTTTGAACTGACCAGCCTTGATTGACTGAATGGCAACCTTTCTGCATAGCATGTGTATATGCTGTGATTTGAACTATTCGCTTGATTTGTACTCGCGGACGCTTGGCGACCATTTTGGCTCGCGGCGAGTAACAGTGTATGGTACAAGGATTGCCGTGCGTGTTTTTAATACCGTTACTGCGCGGAAACAGTCTTGGAGCTGACACAACAGAATACACGCAGATTCCACCTGCGCCTCCGTCAATGACACCGCTGTATCTGCCGTCTCAAGCAGCACAGACCTCAAGTGAGCGCTCCTCAATGGCATCACTGCTATGTGGCAACTTATGCACCGTATGGACATCCTTCATCTACAGTTCACGCGTTGCATTACTATGCTATTGCTACAAACAGGAAGGTGAACGAGCTCTTGCTATCTGTCAGCCTCTTTTTCTAAGTCGGTGCCGCCGTGTGAAGCGATATGTTTCATCTGCAGTCGCAGCTTGCGTGTACACATGTCTAGCGCTTCGTCTTTTAGATCGTACCGGTCCGAATGCAGGTGGCTACGTTACGTGGCGGTTAGAGCTAGTGAAGAGCATTTCGTCCGTTCCGAATAGGAGTCGAAACAACTAGAAGATTATAAGATCATCATTTGTGCTATCGCCATTCAGAACGCTCTCAGTGGTAATCTTTAAATGTGAAATTAGTTTATAGGACGAGTTGAGTGAGTACATGTGTTTTGCTGACCAAACGGTAGAGCCTCACAGGTCGTGTTTATGTAGGGCAACCAAGATTCAAAACCAAAACAGTCACTTGGTCAGTTGAATGCGTGGTTAGTTGTCTCTTCTAGACAACCATTACACTGTGGGTTATTGGCATAATTAATTAACTTACTGTCGTCCGACAGGGAACCAGGGTATTGCAATCGGTTTTGGCAGATGTGTTATTCGCCTTGGAAAAAGATAAAAATAGGTCAAGTAGGGCACAATTTGTGATGCAATAGAAGTGCCTATACATTATATGGCATATCATTTGATTAGGTCGTATGATTTGATTCCGCGGATGACGATCAACCGATTGAGCTTAAACCGAGAATTGCAGAACAAATTCACTTCAAATTGAAGCGGTCAAGTAACCACGAAACTCCTACCCAATCGCCACTGAACGACTGTTAGGTTGTTCCGGCTCCTTCTCTGGTGATTTAGTGGAGTGGCTGTTCCATGATAACAGTTTAGTTGTGTACCGAGAACTGATGAGAAAACAAGGAGATACAGGGACGATTGTTTATTGAGAGAAAGAGAGCACGATGGTTCTAGGAATCAGCTAAGGATACGACGCCGGTGCGACGCGTTGTTACCTATGGATGAGTGGGCGTGGCTGACCCAACCGTGGCGCCGTGTGTCAGTGTTGCTTATGGTTCAGACACAAAAGGTTGACATTCCCTGTCAGTTGTACAGCAGTCTTTTGGAGTGCAGAAGTTCTGGACACGTCGACGGATACATTCTCCATGTTCTCGAACAGTTCCATGTATCACTGTTTCTAGAGGATGATATTGACTCCAGTCTAGTAAATGTTTCCATGGGCATTGTTCACATGCTTTTGGGTTGCACCTATACCACACCGAGCCCCTGTGAAACTATAACCAATACATTACTAAACATCTTCCATCATTTAGCGGAACAGCCCGCCAGCATAAAAATAATCGGAGGAGAATACAACATACCCGATTTTTAGTGGGCATGCAATTTTGCACTTACAAAATATTTGAAATTGCTACCTTCTCTGTACAGTCACTTAAACGGGCTCAGTAGCTTTGTTCTCCTACGCGGATCGGTTCCTAACTATAGGCCTATCTTTTCTCTTCCACTGCAGTCGTCCGTAACTTCGCAGGTAGTGGCCACAAAATGGTTCTACTCTTGGTTATTCGGCAATCTACCTAAATGTCTACTATACGCCCTGACGTATTATATCGGACATTTAAAATTAAGGCGTCTGAGTTATTTATTGTCCTTCTGTGATCTTCACAAACGGATAACATTTTTACGGCAGACACGCAGGTGGCTGCGAATGAGTTCCATAATAACGTTGAGCACTGTTTAGATACCCTCGTTCTTCTAAGACACCAAAGCAATCAGCAAAAGTCAGCACCAGATTTCCTTCCTTCCAGGTTTATTCAAAAATTTAATGAAATTTGCAAACAGCAACTGAACGCCAGAGTTTTTTCCTTTTGTTGCAGGCCCGTCAAATATCTCCGCAAAAACGCGCCAGAAACTCCGGCATAGTGGCTGTGGAAAGCGGGGTCCAATTCCTCCCCGCAACGTAGCAGTGTTCAGCCAATTCGAGATGCGGCCCAACTGCGCACCTGTTGACAATGGTCTTTTCCAAACTACTATCCCGTCCTGGTAGCAACTTTCCCTAACTTAATGACCCATTACATTGGCTGTGATTCGCCCTTTGTTGGTCGTAAAAGAGTCTTCAGAGGACCACCTGTATTGCTTCCTCTTCATCTTATTCGGGAATCGGCAGGGTCACGTGACTTTGTGTGCGTTGTCAGCCGGGCAGCATTCGCGTCTAAGCCACTAGCGCGTCTACCGTAGCCCACTCTCGCGTGCATACTTTCGTCCAAGCGTATTTGTGCGGCTAGGATCGTTCTCACGCTCGCTCCACTTCCGTTTCACCAGCGCGTACACCGGGCTAAACTAACGCCATGATGTCAGAGCAAATCCGTTAGATTGGCCAAGCTTCTAAGGCGTTCTTGTAGGCGGGCTCCAATCGTGCCGGTGACAATCTTATCAGGCATCTACTCAATCATAACACCTTTGTATCGGAGAATTAAAATATACTACCGAACTCGAATTGAAACGTCAAGATAGCCGAACAACCGATAAAGGGTGTGCACTCAGCAGCCAGCATAAA